TGAGGCAGGAGGATCGCAAGTTCAGGTCCTGTCTGGGCAGCTTAGCAAGACTTTGTCTCAAGGCTAAAGGATAAAAGGGGTTGGGACATAGCTCAGTAGAGTGCCCCTGGTTCAATCTCAAGCACTGCCAAATACCTAACCCAGGCTGGGTGTGGTGGTGCACGCCTGTAATCCCAGCACTCGGGAGGCTGAGGGAGGGAGGATCATTGCAAGTTTGAGACCAGCCTGGGCTACAAACTGAGCTCAAAGCCAGCCTGAATTGCATAGCGAGACACTGCCTCAAAAAGAAAAAAAAACCCAAACCAAATACTTAGGCCATCATTTGTAAATTTGTTAGATGTCCATTTAAAGTCTGAATAGATAACTGCATGATGAATTACAGTCAGCAAGTAAAGCTGTGGCTCTGGGTGGCGTTAATGTGACTTTTATTTTGTGGCCCAGCTGTTCCCTAAGCATTAGTTTGAAATACAAATGTAGCCGAGTCTCAGGATGGAGCAGGGAGCCTGCATTCCATGTGCTGTCTGGTTTGTCTGTGGCTCTGTAATCCCTGGAGTTGAGGTATTTTATAGCTATCTGTTCGTGTGTTCATCCCTCAGTTCTTCGTCTTTTACGGGCTGGACTCTGGGTGTGTGTCGCACTTGAAGTGTACATCTCAGCTGGCTGTGAAAGGTATAGGGCTAGACGTGGCTTCTGAGACTGTGAGCTCTACAGCCTTTCGGCCGCCATCCTGAGCGTCCCTCCCCTCTGCCCTACTCATTCACCAGGGCCCGTGCAGCTTTCCGAGGAACTCTCGGACTCCCACTGAACTCTTGTTCCAAGGTAAACTTGTTTTTTTGTTGGTCAGCCGGAGTGGAAGTAGCTGACTGTCTCCAGATTTCTGCCTCCTAGGAATGCTGCCTGGAGGCTGCATGCCCCAACCTTTTCTCACCTGTCCCGGGGGGTGGAGCCCCAGGTCTTCTCTTTCTCCAGGTGCCTGCTTTATTGACTTTTGAAGCTGCCCTGCCATAGCCTTCCAGAATGCCTGCTGTCATAGGTCTGCACCGTTGCACCAGCTTGAATTTGTTGTTTTTTTTTTAGTACTAGAAATTGAACTTGGAGCCTCATGCTTGCCAGGCAAGTGCTGTGCCGCTGAGCTACATCCCGGGCCCTTAAATTTCTTTCTTGATACTGTGATTCGGGGGCCACAATTTTACAAACTTCTGGTGTCACATACTGGAGATGATCTAAGATGATACTGATAGATGACAGTGATGCTAAGGTGCCACTGGCCAGAGGGCAGGGTGGCACCCAGCTGTGATCCCAGTGCTGTGGGAGGCTGAGCCAGGAGAATCACAAATTTCAGCCTAGTTTGGCACTGAATGACTTAATGCGACCCTGTCTGAAGGTTTAAGAAGAGGTGGGGATGCACTTAGTGTGAAGGTGGGGGCTCAGCTCTGGAGGAAGTGCAGGGTGTGCCACCTGCTTTCCATCTCACATTCAGGTGTCAGCATGGCCCTCCCCAGCCTCCTCTGCCGTGCTGGCCTCTTCCCTCCCTGACTCATCCCACGGCCAGAGGCTGGGCCAGTCACCGGGCCAGCACTGCTACCCATCGTCCCTCACTGCCTGCAGCAGTCACAGGAAAAGCTTGTGTCACTTTCAGGGTTTGCCCTGGAGACCTGAGCTTTGGTTCTGGGCACTGACAGTGCAAGCCTAGGGCAGCATGTTGGTACCTGTGTCTCGTGAGTCTGTCCACTCGTCACAGGAGGATATGGCAACAGGATGACAGGTGGCCTGCCCTCAGGATGCTTGTTGGGGGCTGACCTTGTCACTTCTTGATTTGCTCAGCATGCCTCCTGTTGTACCCTCCTGGAAGGCCAGGTTGGGTTTGGGCGTCCAGAGGCAGTGGCAGCAGGCGTCTGATCTGGAGGGGGTCATGCAGAAGCTGTCAGGAGCTCTGGTGTCTCAGGGACTGGACCCAGCCCTGCTGCCCTTGGCACGCCCTTTCCCTGTGACTTGGCCAGCTGTGTTGACTTGCAGTGGTCACTGCACCCCCTCTTCGAGGTGAGGCCACAACCTTCTGGCTTCCTGCAGACCTGGGCCCCAGTCTGGGTGGCTGCAGCATGGCCTCGGCTCTGCCTTGACTCACTGTCCACAGTCCTCCTGCACTTGTCCTCTGAAACAAGGATTCCTGGGTGTCTGGGGTGTCTGCAGGGAGACCACAAGAAGCACTGTGGCCTGACCTGTATGTGCACGTGAAGCTGCTGTCTGCGAGTGAACTGCCCTGCTGTGGGGCTCTGGCAGCTCTGGATGCATTCAGAGGTGCCTGTGCCTGAGCTGGTGGGAGGGTGGGAGCGGAGCTTGCTGGGCTGGCAGCGGCCCTTGCACCTCACTCCCGTGTGCCTCAGTTCAGTCTCATTGAGTCTCCTCTCCCGGATCGCAGTTCAGCATCTGCACCATCAGGTCCTGGACAGGTGGGGGGTACTGGAGATTGCACCAGGACTTTTCCACGGAGCTGCATCCCGACCCTTTTAAAAATCTTCGCAGTCTCCCCAAGTCACTGAACGTCACAGGCTGGTCTCAGACTTGCAGTGCTCGTGGCTCAGTCTCCCAGAGTGCTGGGATTACATACGTGAACCACTGCACTCAGCCTCCTAGTCTTGTTTTCTGTGAAGGCCCTGGCTTCCTTTAGGGACCCCTTGACCACCTGAGGCCTCCAGACTTGGCCCATCTTAGCCGTCTGGCTTGGCCCCAGCAGCCCCCCAGTGAGCCCCCAGACGGGTCAAAGTGGCATTAGCGCTTGTGCACAGGCCCGCCGCCGCCTTTCTCTTGGCAGCTCCTGAAGGCATCTCTGCCTGGTGAGGTTCTGTGGGCAGTGGAGGGACAGCGGGGACGACTCCTGCCCATTTAGCAGCCCCGGGCCGCATCTGGGCCCCGGGCCCCCATTTGAGCTTTTTAAAATGTTTGCAGTTGTCTCTGGTAAGATCCCTGTTAATCTTTAAATCAGGAACTCACTGGTCTCCTGGGAGAGGGAAATAATCTGTTTATTTCCTGGCCCCTAGGTGTTTTCAGTCAGTCCCGGAAGGCCCTGTCCGCAGCACAGACCCCCGTGGGGTATTGTGCTGGAGGCAGAACCCCTCCTGCTTGTTGCACATATCCGGTGCCGTGGGAGCAGCGACAGGCATCTGTGTGCTTTGCATGATCTCCTGCTGCAACACTAGGGTTGATCTGGGTCAGAACCATGTTTGTGACTTGGTGTAGAGACTGACTCGTTAGGTAGCCCTCCTCTTGAGTTCACAACCCAGCCGGCTTTCACTGAGATTGTTTTACTGAGGGTCTGCTGCTTTTGTTTTCACAAACAGGTCAGAGGCCTGAATATTTGCGAAAACACAGGCTAGAGATAGTGTTTCCCACTGTTTCCCCCCCCCACTGCTTTTTTAATTTCCCCTTTTTTGTGGTGATAGGGATCAGACCTGGGGCCTTGTGCCTGTTAGGCAAGTCCTCTGCCACTGAATGATACTTGGCCCTCGTTTTTTTTATTACTTATTTGTTAATTATCAGGATATTGCTGTGCTGCTCAGGCTGGCCCTGAACTGGGTGCAGATGTCTGGCTTACATCTTAATCTGACAGTGTACTGTGGTACTTTCATATTTGTAAACAAAAGAACTGATTTGTAGTCTGTTTACTTCAGTTTAATCTTCAAGTGGATGCGGAGGTCAGGAACAGACAATGGTCTCCAGGGTCACCATGGTCATCTCCAGGCAGGTGTCCCTACCCTGGTGCTGGTTACAGTCCAGGGGCTGGGGAGAGGCACCCCTGGTGTCCACATGCTGTTCAAGTGCTGCATAAACACAGGCCCTCCCTGTGCTACGCTGTGGTCACACTTGAAGACCCTACATTTGGCAGAGCCCACTGGTACCTGGGCCTCTCCCCAGCTGGCACCACCTCTGGGTGCCTGAGGAGGCGGCACAAGCAAGGCAGCCCAGGACCTGTTCCCATTGGCTTCATCCAGGACTGCCTGGAACTGGGCATAAGTGGGTCCATCAGTAATTGAAGCTGCTGGGGAACTGAGGGTTGTGAGTTTGAGACCAACCTGGTCTGTGCACTGAGAACTTGTCTCAAAAGAGCAAAAATATCTGGGTCTGGTGGCACAGGCGCTTGTAACCCCAGCTGTCAGGAGGCTGAGGCAGGAAAATCATCTTGGGCCACATAGTTCAAGGCCAGCCTGAGTGAGACCCTGTTTCAAAAAAAAGAAAAAAAAAAAAGTAATAAAAGAGGTTAGGGATGTAGCTCAGAGGTGGAGTATCCTTGGGTTTGATCCAAGTGCTGGGAAAAACAGTCACACAATCCCTAAATCAGGCTGGGAGTGCAACTCATACCCAAGGCCTTGTGTTCGATCCTTAGCACCCAAACAAAACAATTCCAGAGTCCTTTCCTAAAATAGGGTTAGCAAGAGGCTTGTCTTCAAATGTCTGGAGAGACTTAGATGACCCCCGGGACCGTGGGGTTCCTGGGGTAAGAATGCCCTTCTCTGCACCCTTCGGGGGTGGCCCCGTCCTGACCTCGGCAGCAGCGCTCCTGCTGCTCGCAGACAGAGCTCCGTGGACATCTCACCTTAGGCCTCATGCCCTTGGTCCCTTCTCAGTGTGGCTGTCGCTACCTGCCACCATCTGGTTGCTTTTCGGCCGAAGAGGCTTCCAGGCCCTGCTGCTCCTGGAGTCTTCTTTTGGAAAGAATGGGGTTTTCCAGAGTTTGCTTTCTGCTCTTCCCTGGACTGACTGAGGGCTAGGTTTCCAGGGAGCTTCATCTTTGAAGGCCCCTTTCAGAGGAGTCAGGCACCACCCACAGACCTGACTGGCTGCCCAAGGCAGCATGGTGAGGGGGCCTCTGGCCCGGTGAGTGGAGTCAGGGCCTCGGGGAACTGGTGCTTTTTGTCTCCAGGGGCCAGGGTGGAAAGGACATGGCACTTCTGGGGTAATGAACAAAAGCGGCTGTCTAAAGCTCCTTAACACCTGGCACTCAGCTACACGCAGAATGGAATTTTGCATATGTTGGACAGAAATAAGAGAATCAAGCCTCGGCCAGAGAGGTTCCAGAACTGTAAGGACCTGTTTGACCTGATCCTGACCTGTGAAGAGAGGGTCTATGACCAGGTGGTGGAAGGTGAGCCTATGTGGTGGTGCCCAGGAAGCCGCTTCCCTGCCCGAGGTGGGGAGGGCTCCGGCCCTGAGTGGCAGCCCGGGGACAGATGCCTATCTTGGTCTGCACATAAGGGCCAGCAGAGGTCCCTGGGAGGTGGGCAGGGGGGGCTGCTGCGGCCTTTTGCTGAGATGTCATTGCCTCTGTGGGCTCCGGCTCCGCCCTGTATGGTACAGACTGTGCCGTGGGGACCACAAATGCTACTGCTGCCATGGGAGGCCTTGTCCCAGGACAGGTTGGACACCAGTGGCGGCCTCAACTTGAGCTTGAGGTCCACAGAGGCTTTGAGTTCAGCTTTGTCATGCAGGGTCCTCAGGGTGTCCCCAGGCCTGGTCACAGTGCCTGGTTGTGTTCCCAAACCCCAGAGCCCAGCAGCAGCTGAGCCCAGCCAGGGGCAGGTGGGGCCGCTCGACAGACTCTTGCTGCGTGGTTCGGCAGCCACCATCTTTGTCCCTTTGTCCCAATCAGATCTGAATTCCAGAGAACAGGAGACCTGCCAGCCAGTGCATGTGGTCAACGTGGACATTCAGGACAACCACGAGGAGGCCACCCTGGGGGCCTTCCTCATCTGTGAGCTCTGTCAGTGTGTGAGTATGGGGTGCCTGGCTTGTCCCCTGCCTGTGCCGCAAAAACTGAAACAGTTGACCTTTGGGGATGAGCCAAGTGGCTTTGGCTCAAGAACTACCTGGTGCTTTTGTTCATCTGATAGAGGGTGTGCGAGGATGGCCCTGTTTGTGCACTGAGACCTCCAGAACTCTGGTCCCTTCCCTGGTAGACCCTCAGCTCAGGCACCGCCAGCAGAGCAGGTGGCAGCCCAGGCTGGGGCAGGGTCAGACCTACGCGCTTCACTGTGTCTCCTGCCCTGCAGACTGGCGGCCCAAACTGTCCGCCGCCGCCGCCCCCCACCCCCAGCCTTCTCCCCGTCACCCAAGCCTGTGTAGCTGCCATGCACTGTCCGTGTCCTTGGGATCTGTTCAAGGCAGCGGGCTGTGGTGACAGGCGTGAGGGAACTGGCCTAGTCAGGAGCGGGTCCCCACCAGATGACCGGGCTGGGCTGGTGCTGTGTGTGGGGGCCAGGCTCCAGCCCTCCTGGCCCCGCCCACCCCAGCCGAGCTTGTTCCCTGCAAGTCTCATGATTCAGTGTGGCTGCCTTAAGCTCTGCCAGCTGTGTCCATCATCTAGCCAGCATGCAGCAGAAACACCTGGAGAGGTGTGCCTACAGCTTCAGGACAGAGCTGTGTCACAAAGGGGCCTCCCTGCTCAGAGGCCCATGTGCCAGCAAGGCTGAGTACCGCGGGGACGAGCCGTGGCAGGGCAGGTGTGGCCGGGAGCTGGACGGTCTCTGGCGATGTGTGCAGTGATTGTGGTTCTCCAGACCCGGAGGGAGCCGTGTGTGGGGTTAGCCACCCCGCCGCGCACGGATGCGGGGAGCCACCTCCCTGCTGCGGGGCCCTGGCGGGTGCCTGTCCCTTTCCGTGCTCTATTTTGCTTGCCTGTGTGGTGGAGAGGAGCCTGCGAACCTGGGTCCTTCTCTGGGCGCCCCGCGCGGCTCCAGCTGGGGGCTCTGCGGGGCGGGGAAGGCCGCGCGGTGGGCTACGGCCCGGCGAGCGCGCTCAGGGTGTGCTCCCCGCAGATCCAGCACACGGAGGACATGGAGAACGAGATCGACGAGCTGCTGCAGGAGTTCGAGGAGAAGAGCGGTCGGGCCTTCCTGCACACGGTGTGCTTCTACTGACCCCACCCGGCCTCCTGGACGTGTCTGCGGGGTGCCGGTGTTGCCCTCGTGCAATGCGGAACCAGGAGGGCGGACCGCGTGCCAGTGTCTCCACCCCCTTCCACGGAGAAAGACGGTTCACGCACGCCTGCGTGCCTGTCCGGGCCGCGCCCCCACCTGCAGATTGTGCGCGTACCTGAGCAACCGCGGCCGAGCCCTGGCCGGAGGGGCCTGGAGTCGCCCAATAAACGAAATGCTGCTAGCGCCGTGCTCTGTCCTCAATTCCGCGCCAGCCCCTCCCCGGCTGGGCCACCTCGCAGACCCAGCCCCAGGCCCACCCGCCGGGCCCGCGCGGCCGGCCTCCCAGGCGGCCCTCCTGGTGTCCCAAGGTCCGAAGTCGGGGGGCCTGGCGGGCTCCCGGGCTGTGGGGTCTGGGCCCGGCCTGGCCTC